GACGGACAGTATATCTGAAAAAGACAAGGTCAGGCAAGGCCCAAACCCCTCAGATCTTACCCCTAGTCCCCAAAAATTCCTAACTACATCTGACCACGCCGGGCCAGCCCCCAGCCTGTCCGGCCCTGCCATTGTCAGGTAGCTCTCTGATATCTTCCAAATATAACTGGACACCCTTTTGTTGGAAGCCAGACTTGGCAAAGCCTAAGTCCCCTGGTCTCTTGCACCGGTCTAGGGGAGAGGTCAGATCGCCTTCCCCAAATCTCAGCGTGCCTCCCTCAAGAGTCGGCACTCACAAGCTAAGTTGGTGGCTCCTGTTGCTTGGCCGTGTGCTTTCACGCGACTCCTAGGAGCCACGGGCCTGCGGTGACACCAGAGTGTACAGGGGTCTATACCCAGAAGGTGGCCTTGCTCTACACGGGTCAGCGAAGCGCCAGCTACGTGGCTAGTGACCGTGGGGAAGCTGCTGAACCAAAGCCCCGCTTTCCACATCGTCTCTACTCTCCCCTCACAAAGCAGACTACGCCAGAGGCCTGCAAGAGACACCGTTTCTGCACAGCTCCATGAAACCCAGTCACAGCCCAGATGTGCCCTGGGCTTCTGGATCCCTTGCCAGAGTAGCAGGTAGGGACCCCAGCTGAAGGACCGTCACTCGTGAGTGAGCGCCAGGGAAGGCCACTCTCCTCAGCGCGCCAGCTCCAGAGCTGAGGCGGGAACCAGGGTGCCACTTTCTGAGGCCCTTGGTGTCAGGTTGTTCCTCTTTGTACCTTGCTAATCACTCACGAAGTGGCTACCACACTCCCCTTGACGCGCTGCCAGGGGAACAGAGAAGGCGATGGCTAGCGCCTGGCGCCTTCTCAGGCGTGGTGGCTGCAGCCATGTACAAAGCATCAAGATGAGAGCTGTGCAGAGCAGGCCTGGGACCAGACGACAGAGAGGAGCAGGCCTTGCCCAGAATGTGCAGGTGTGTCTCCCAGAAAGAGGCCTCACCTGAGACCCCATTCTCCTTTAGTCAACTTCCCAAGAACAGAGCAAAAAGGGAACTTCCAGAGCTGCTAAAATCGGGGGTTCCCACCCCACTTTTAGCCGAGGGCACTGAGGCAGAGCCTCCCCTTGGTACAACCATATGGGCATGAATATAATGATGGTTACCAAAGATTCGTCTGGGAGCCCGCACAGGGGCATGAGACGGCTGCAGACGCGGAGAGCCTGGACAGCCAGAGGACCTCAGGTATTACAGCCCCGGGGAACCTCAGCCAACGGGGTTGCCTAAGCAGCAGGGGCAAACAGGTTCCAGGGTCACGGACGGGGAAGGGGGCGCCTGGACTGCCTTCCAACATAGACTGAGCCTCTTGGTCACTGAATGATTGAATGTCCTTTGGATGTAACTTCCCTTCACTACGCACACAGATACTAGAAACTGCTACAGCTATCCGCAAAGACGGGGAACCATGAATCTCCACCAGTCAGGGCTGAACCAAGACAAACTAAAGATGTCAAGAGAAGATAAAAAAAAAAAAAACAGGATAGAATGGGCACGAATCTGCCTGCAGGACAAGAATGTCACCCGGAGGCAGTAAATGACAGCAAGAGATTGTCCTGTGATGAGCTAACTACAAAGAGGACGGAGTCCACAGCTGGGCCGTCCCTAGGCAGAACTGAACTGGGCTGGGTGGGGCTAAGCTGGGCTGGGCTGGGCTGAGCTGGCCTGGGTTGGGTTGAGCTTGGATGAGCCAAATAAAGAGGACTGGATTGGGCTGAGCTGGGCTGGGCTGGGCTGAGCTGGGCTAGACTGGGCTGTGGTTTTAGATGGGCTGGGTTCAGCTGGCCTAAACAGGGCTGAGCAGGGTTTGGCTGGGCTAGGCTGGGCTGGGCTGGGCTAAATTAGTTTGGGCTAGGCTAGGCTGGTCAGGGCTGGGCTGAGCGGGGCTGTGCTGGCTTGAGCTAAGTGGGGTATAATCAGCTGATATGGGCTGGTCTGGCTAGACTGAACTGAGCTGGGCTAGGCTGATCTGGGATGACCTGGACTAGACTATGCTGAGCTAACCCAGGCTAAACCAGACTGGGCTGAGCTGGGCTGGGCTGAGCTGAGCTGAGCTGGGCTGAGCTGGGCTGAGCTGGGCTGAGCTGAGCTGAGCTGGGCTGAGCTGGGCTGAGCTGAGCTGAGCTGAGCTGAGATGGTATAGGTTGATTTAAGCTGGGCTGAGCAGGGCTGAGCAGGACAAAAACTAAGCTGACCTGGGCCAGGCTGGGCTGGGTTAAATTAGGAGGGACTTGGCTAGGCTAGGTTCAGCTGGAGTTGCCTGAGCTAGGTTGGGTGGACCCAGGCTGAGTTGGGCTGGACTGGCCTGAAGTAGGCTGGGCGATCTTAAACTAGGGTAGGCTGGCTGATCTGAATCACACTAGGCTAGACTGGGCTGAGCTGGGCTAAGCAGGGCTGGGCTGAACTGGGTTGCACTAGCCTGGCCTGAACGAGGGGTAGGCTGGGCTAGGCTGAGCTGAGCTGGTCTAACCTGAGTGACCTGGGCTATGCTAAGCAAGACTATGCTGAGCTAACCCCAGACTAGACTAGACTAGACTAGACTGGGCTGGGCTGGGCTGGGCTGGGCTGAGCTGAGTTGGCCTAGGTTGATTTGAGCTGGGCTGAGCATGGCTGATGTGGACTGAACTAAACTGAACTGGGCCAGACTGGGCTGGGCTGGGTTAAATTAGGAGGGGCTTGGCTAGGCTGGATTGGACTAGACTGGACTGAGCTAGGTTAAACTGGGTTAGACTGGTCTCAGTTGGACTATACTGAGCTGGATTGGACTGGACTGGACCAGACCAGGCTAACTTAGGTTATGTGGACTGGGATGGGCTGTGTTAGGCTTGGTTAATTTGACCTTGGATGAGCTGGGCTGAACTGGGATGAACTGGGCTGAGCTGAGCTGAGCTGAGCTGGGCTGAGCTGGGCTGAGCTGGACTGAGCTGTACTGAGCTGGGCTGAGCTGGACTGAGCTGGGCTGGGCTGAGCTGGACTGAGCTGGGCTGGGCTGAGCTGGGCTGAGTTGGACTCAGCTGGACTGAGCTGAGCTGAGCTGGACTGAGCTGGCCTGGGCTGGGCTGAGCTGGGATGAGCTGGGATGAGCTGGACTGAGCTGGGCTGGGCTGGGCTGAGCTGGGATGAGCTGGCCTGGGCTGGGATGATCTAGGAAAGGCTGGATTGGAATGGGCTGAATTGGCCTGAGCTGGGCTAAGCTAAGCTAAGTATGGCTGTCCTGGACTGAGCAGGACTGGACTGAACTGGACTGGGCTGAGTTTGTTGGACTAGGTGGAACTATCTAGGGGTAAACTGGGCTGAGAAGGACTAGTGTGGTTTGGTCTGAGCTAGGCTAAGCTGGCCTGGGCTGGGCTGGGCTGGGCTGAGCTGGGCTGGACCGGCCTGGGCCTGGCGACCTGGACTGTGCTGGGCTGAACTGGATTGCACTAGACTGAGCTCAACTGGGCTGGGCTGAGCAGGGTTGGATGGGCTGAGCTGCGCGGAGCTACACTAGTCTTGTCTGAGGTGGCCTTAGCAGGTCTGGCCTGGCCTAAGCAAGGCTGGGCCGTGCTGATCTGACCTAAGCTCAGCTCAACTGAAAAAGTCTGGGCTAGGCTGGGCTGAGTTGGGCTGATCTAGACTGAGCTGGGATGAGCTGGATTGAGCTGGGATGAGCTGGATTGAGCTGGATTGAGCTGGGCTGAGCTGGGCTGAGCTAAATTGGGTAGACTAGCCTAAGATGGACTGGGTTGGCCTAGGCTGAGTTGTGCTGGGTTGGCTTGGACTGAACTGGCCTGAGCTCGGTTGGTTTGGACTGGGTTGAGCTGAGTTAAAAGCTAACTTGTGTGGGCTGAGTGGAGCTGAGTTGGGCTGTGCCAGTATGAACTGGGCTAAACTGGGCTGAACTGGTATAGGTTGAATTTAGCTGAGTCCAACTGGGCTTAGGCTTCCATAAGATGACTGAGCTACACTGGACTGAGTTGAGCTATGTTGAGTTGAACTTGGATGAGCTAGAATAAGCTGAGCTGGGCTGGTGTGGGATGAGTCAGCTGGGCCCAGCTGAGCTCGGCTGATCTGGACTGGACTGAGCTGGACTGGACTGAGCTGGCATGATATGGGCTATGCTGTGCTGAGCTCTGCTAGGCTAAGTGGGCTTTGGTTTGGTTTGGTTTGATTTGGTTTTGTTCTGGTTTTGGTTTTTTGAGACAAGGTTTCTCTGTATTGTTTTGGAGCCTGTCCTGGAACTCACTCTATAGACCAGGCTGGCCTTGAACTCACAGAGATCCACCTGCCTCTGCCTCCCGAGTGCTGGGATTAAAGGCGTGCGCCACCACAGCCTAGCTGGGTGGGCTTATTGATTTGAGCAGGGACAGGCTTGGACAGGCTAAGATGGGCTGGCCTGGGCTACACTAAACTGGGCTGAGCTGGCATTGGCAAGGTTAGGCTGAGCTGGCTAAGCTAAGTTGTTCTGGACTGGGAAAAACTTTTCACATGTCTGTTGGTCTGGTTGAACTTTCTCTTTCTGGTGCTAAACTGAACTGGGTTTAAGATTGCTCGAAATCATTTATGGGTGTCTTGACTGTCCTCCAAGAAGGTTGTCCTGTCGTAGTCAGACAGACTGACTAGGTAGAGCCATGCAGGCGTAATGGTATCCTGTGCTCTCTGGGGACCTGGCACAGAGCTGAGCTGCGGCCCGGGCTCGGGAGGACATGATGGGCATGTGTGCACCCTAGAGAAATTTAGGCAGCCACCGAGGTGGCTTCTGAAGTGGTTTTATTCTCTATGTATGTGCTGTCTGGGATACACAGGGGTCATCTGGGAGGCAGGACACTGTGCAGGTTGGGATATAGCAACGGGGAAACCAAAGCAGGACACTCATGTACCTGAGAGACTGAGACCAACTCTGTCCTCCATATGGCCCAAAACGGATTTAATGTGACTCACAGAGGAACTGGTGGTCCTGGGAAGGCTCTGGATCCCCAGTCCCCAAGACTGGGAGCAGAAGGGACAATCTGGCAATTCACTAGATCTCGGGGGAGGGGGCACGATCCCTATGGGGTACCTGTTCCCTGGACTTAAACCTAAGGGGCAGCCTGGTCCCCTGTTAATATCGTCTCGCCCACCTTGAAGCTGCTCCGTTCATCCTGTGTTAACTGGAGATCCCCTCCCTCCCGCCAGTTCCCGAATAACCACTCTGAGGCTGAATATTAATTACAAGCTGCTTGGCTGATGGTTCAGGCGTCTTACCGCTAGCTCTACACATATCACCACATGCCCCGTGGCTCGCCGGGGGATGCTCTGGCATCTCTCAGATTCCACCTTCTTTTTCCCTGTATCTTTGCTTGGACTTCCTGCCCGGCTGTCTTGTGCCTGGGTATTGGCCAAATCAGCCACTTTATCAGCCAATGGTAATAAAGCGCACTCGCAGCACACAGAGACTCCCCACGTCAATCCTGCAGCCTGAATGAATGCCTTCCAGTCTGCCACCCCGGTCTGCCATTTCGTTTGCAGCCATGTCCTAGATGATGTCACCGCCACCTGGCTACATTCCCGCGTGATTTCTCAAACAAGAAGGAGGGCAAGTTTGCATCTCCCTCCAAAGCTCAAGTTTCGCCCTCCTGTGCCAAGCCGGCTGGGGGGGTCAATGAGTGAGAAAAGCCTGGAAGGGTGTAAGGCATTGGGGTGGGGGAGCCTCCCTGGGCCTGAGGATGAAGACGGGACCCAGAAGGAGTCTCCGATACTGGGACAGGGTCCCCAGAGCCTCGCTTCTGTCACAGCCACCCTCGTCAGTCCCCCAGCCTGCAGGACTACAGTGAGCCGAGGCCAGTCTAACCTAGATCCTTTCTCGCAGCGGCTGTCCAGAAACCTGCCGTCTATACCTTAAAGCCCTATAGCGCAAACACCGCCTCCATGGCCCTGGGCTGCCTGGTAAAGGACTACTTCCCTGGCCCGGTGACTGTGACCTGGCATCCCAAGACGCAGAACATGAGCATCGTGAATTTCCCTGCCCTGGGCTCTGACCTCCTGGTCACCGCCAGCCAGGTGACCACCTGGGACAAGTCAGTCAAGAACTTCACTTGCCAAGTGACACACGCCCCATCCGGACTCAGCATAAGCAAGGTGATCAGAGGTAAGCAGCAAGAGAGAACGTGGTCAGGACAGGACCTCTCCCGTCCACCCGTGATGGGAGGATGGGGGCACCCAGCGTGCTCAGGGGCTGGGCTCAGGCTTAGGGACACAAGCAGGGGGGGGACACTCACAACTCACTGCCCCTGCCCTAGGACCACTTTGCAATCTAACCCGGCCCACCTTGAAGCTGCTCCACTCATCCTGCGACCGCAACGGGTTCCAGTCCACCCTCCAGCTCTACTGCTTCATCTATAACCACACTCTTGATGACGTCGCTGTCACCTGGTTCAGGGACGGACAGGAGATGCCCAGTGCGTCTCCGGGTGTCTTTCCGATCAAGAGGGAGGGCAAGCTAGCCTCTTCCTACAGTGAGCTCAACATCACCACAGAGCAGTGGATGTCTGAGAGCACCTTCGCCTGCAAGGTCACCTCCCAAGGCGAGGACTATCACGCCTCTATCCAGAAGTGCCCAGGTAGGCCCTCACTTGCCTGATGCCCAGACCTCAGAGTTCTGAGGGAAAGGCAGAGCCTCACACAACCCTTTCCGGCCCACAGAGTATGAACCACGTGGCGTGAGTACCTACCTGATCCCACCCAGCCCCCTGGACCTGTATGTAAAGAAGACTCCCAAGCTTACCTGCCTGGTGGTGGACCTGGAAAGCAAGGAGAATGTCACTGTGGAGTGGACCCAAGAGCACAGGAAGCCTGCAGGCTTGGCAGTCCAGAGTTCCACCAGGCACCACAATGCAACGACCAGTATCACCTCCACCCTGCCAGTGGACGCCAACGACTGGATTGAAGGCGAACGCTACAGGTGCAGAGTGGTCCACCCTCACCTGCCCAAGCCCATTGTGCGCATCATCTCCAAGGCCTGGGGTGAGTACAGGAGATGGAGAGCACACCAGCCCCTCCCTCGTGGTCAGAGATGCTAAAGCCTGGCCAACTAATGTCTGTCCACAGGCAAGCGCTCAGCCCCCGAGGTGTATGCGTTCCCACCGCCAGAGGACGAGAACAAGGACAAACGCACACTCACCTGCCTGATCCAGAACTTCTTCCCTGAGGACATCTCGGTGCAGTGGCTGCAGGACGGGACACCGATCCCAAACACCCAGTACAGAACCACAACGCCCCTAAGGTCCAGTGGCTCCAGTCACGGCTTCTTCATCTTCAGCCGCCTAGAGGTCACCAGGGCACACTGGGCACAGAATAAACAATTCGCCTGCCAAGTGATCCACGAGGCACTGCAAGAACCTAGGACGCTGGAGAGAATAGTGCCCAAGACCCCTGGTAAATGATGCCTCCCTCCGTCCCTTCCAGGGCTGCACGTAGCTGTGGTAGGGAAGATGGATGGCAGACCTCAACCCACTGCTGTAACAACTGGGAAGCCACCCCAATAAACACTCGGTGTCCGCTCAGAGCCCTGGGTGCCTGTTCTTGGGGAGGGCAAGTTGTGGGCCAAAGTGTCTTGGCATAGAGGAAGGGACGTTGCAAGAGAGGGACGGGACTAACGCACAGCTCACCCGTCTGGCAGCGCTGGGTGTTTGACAAATAGGACATCACAGAGGTTCAGCATAGGTCCCCGTGGTCCTTTGTGCCCTCCACTGTGTACAATGCACCTCAGAGAGATCCAGACGGAGAGGAGGTCTCTGGAGGAGTGGCTAAAATGAACCAGCCTGGGAGGCCTCAGCACCCACCCCTCGGTCTTGCAAGTTTCTCCTCCTCAGGTATTCCTGGATACTAGAACCCCTTCAGGTAGAGAAACGGCCTAAGTTGGCATCTTGGAAGGCAGGACTCCATGTGGACCTGCTCCTTCCCCTCTGTGCTCGGCAGCTACTAAGGCTGAGCCTGCATCCCTGACCGCCTTGTCCTGCTGTGTGGTCAGAGCAGGCCTGGATCAGGACCTGGTGCCCTCATCTTACTTCCCAGCCTCGCTCCAAGGCAAACTCATCTCAAGGACTGGAATAGCCTGCTATCCTCACACAGGCAGGAGCACTCACCTGTGCCATGTTTACACACACACACACACACACACACACACTCACACACAGCCACACACACTCAAGCTGCCACGCCTTGCGGTGAGCTAGGCTGAGTCTGGGGCTTACACCCTGCTAGGGAGCCCAGTATCTTCCACGTGACCTCAGCCTCCCAGACACTCTTCTCTATCTGCCATAACCCTAAGACAGGAAGATACACACACAGGAACACACACGCATGCACACCACACACACAGTGCAGGCAGGCTTCATCATACTCTCTGGTTTAGCAATAGCCCAAAGCAAGCTATGCATCCCTCCTGGGGAGAAGAAGGAGTCGAGAAGGGGGATGCACCCACACCCACCCCAGGCCTAACCATCAGCACATATGGCTCACACACCTGAGACCAGAGGCTCCCCTCATACGCACACAGTGGAGCCCATACACACCTGCAGGATCCAGAGGTGACTGTCCGGCCTTTGTGTCTGAGACACCTCTGAGCCCCCCCCCAATGGCAGAGTCATCCAGCACCTCAGGGCTGCTTCCAGACCAATCCTTCTGCTTCAGCCCATGCCAGCCCATGAGAGACAGAGGAAGGTGGAGGCCTGAGCTGTGGGAGACCAGAGACAGGAAAACAGGCTGTATGATAGCTGCTCATAACAGCAAACAGACAACAGGGAGACTGAGGAAAGAGTAGAGCCTCTACAAGGTCAGGAGGCACTCTGTAGAGTACCACGGGCCTGGGCTCAGAGCCCTTGTGCCCTGATCTGGCCCTCAGAGACCACAGCCAAGATTCCTGGAACTGGAGCCCTCGTGCAGATCCTGCCAATGAGCTCAGAGCCCTTCCTGGAGGGCCCTGGGCACTCTCTGAAGGATAAGTCTGCAGGCTGAACAGAGGCATCCTGTGGCCAGAAAAAAAGCTATGCTGAGGTGGGGGATATCAGGCCACCCTGGGCACTTAGAGTAGGAAGACGGAATGAGTAGCCAGGGTCAGGAGAGAAAAGAAGACATCTGGCATCCAGGGATGGCCAGAGGCTCTGGACAGTCCCGGAGCAGGGGGGATGGGGAACCTCTGCCATTCCGGCTTCATCAGGATGACCGGTGTGGGCTCTGCCCCTCCCCGCTGCCGCCTGGAGTCTGGGAAAGCTGACTGACTGCTCCCCCCAGAGCTAGACCTGCAGGACCTATGTGCGGAGGAGGCCGAGAGCGAGGAGCTGGAAGAGTTGTGGACCAGCACCTGCGTCTTCATCACCCTGTTCCTGCTCAGCGTGAGCTATGGGGCCACTGTCACCCTCCTCAAGGTGGGGTCCTGCACCTCAGTGGGTGGGGCCCGGGAGGGCTGGGCCAAGCTGCAGAGCCATCTTCATATACGCCTCTTCCCTAGGTGAAGTGGGTCTTCTCCACACCGATGCAGGGCACGCCCCAGACCCTCCATGACTATGCCAACATCCTCCTCGCCAGGGCATAGGCACAACGCCAGCTCCCATGCATGTGTGTCTGAGGCTTCTGCTCTGCCCTGGGTGGTAGGAGGGGGCAGAACCCCCTCCCCAGAAGGACCAGATTCGGGAACCAACAACCGATATATCAGCAGCCAGTTCCAGATCAAGGCACCGGTGTGGACTGTCCTACACACAGATACTTTGAGACAAGCTTTGCAAGAGCATGTGTCCCTCATCAGTTTGACCTGAGTTTTAGGGTAGATGCTGACCACCTGGGTTCATCCCATACCCACAGGCACCAGGGTCACTCCGTTTTGACAGAATAACCATAAAAACACAAGGTTTCAGGACCTAAGGTCCCTACTAGCCCCTCCACCCCATCCCCAGAGCCCAGAGTCAAAACTGGGGCATCAGAATCGACCCAGAACAAGTCCAAGCCCTGGAGCCCCAGAAGTTATCCTGCCCCACTGCCCCCAGACATACCCCAGCTTTTCCCTGCAGCCAGCCCTCTGTCCCTGAAAAATAAACAGACAGACAGACATTCAGGATGAGTTCACAAAACTAAAAAGAGTGCTTCAGACCTCTGGGCTAGAAAGAGAGTCCTACTGAAAGAAATGGACTCTCCCTGGGCGGCAGCAGAGCCTAGCCCTGAGGCTTCACTGACTCCAAGCCTCAGCCAGTGGTCCCACTCCGTCTCTGGGTTCCTCAGTAAAGCTCGTCCCCATAACTCCTGAGAACACTTTGAGGAGGTGTTTGAGGCCACCGTTGGGGTGATGGGTACCAAGAACACAGACAAGGACCAGAGGGTGAGGAGCATGGGGAGCAAGCAGCCATCTCAGTGGGGTCCTCTTCAAAACCCAGTCCACCACTCCTGCTGGCCCCCAGTCCGGTCTCACTTCCTGCTTCTTAAGCTGAAGTGAAGGGCAAAGCCTGGGGGGCTAACGGTGGAATCAGAGCTGGACCCCCTGGGAACCCGGGTGCAGGTCACTCTCCAAGGCAGCAATCTGTCTGCCCACTAAGTGCAGGCAGACAGGCCAGTCCCTGAATCCTGGAGGGACTGAGTGAGGACACGCAGGTGTGCCAATGCCATCCAAACCTAGTATTACCATCCTTGGGACATGAACTCACGTTACAAAAGACAGGATTCTCTCATATGCGATGATGACTCCTGAACCAATAAAAAGAAAGAAGTCTTCATGGGAACAAAAATCGGTAGTCGATGACTCACAGTAAAATGCTTCCTTGATGAGAACATTTCTAGCAACAAGGATGCTAGGGTGGGCGTGGCCCTACTGGGCCCTGGTTAGAGGCATGAGAACTATTAAGACCGTTTTGAGGGTCAGTTGACCAAAGGCCCTTGTAATCACTAAGTGGCGATGGTCTCACAAGGAGATCCACATTGGGGTTCCAAGCTCAGCACCCCGGGACTTTGGGGAAACTAGGATGGAGATGAGCGTGCCAGGGCCAGGCCACAGCTCCCAGGTGTCTGAACCCTCCTCTACTGTGGAGTCGGGCGTCTACAGGTCTCAGGGTACCCACGGAAGACATGGGTGGCAAAGGCACAGAGGGCCACACCTACTGGGTGCAGAAGGCCCAGGACTGGAAGGTGACTGGTCTGACTGGAGGGGAGGCATGGCTAAGGGTGTGTCTCAAGCCCCAGCCCTGGCCAGCTCACACTAGCATCTCATTCACGCTGAGGAACACAGCGTCCCGCACATTCAAACGTATGTCAGACACGGTCACACAGATTGCACATACACACTCACATGCATCCAGAGTCAGGTGGCGGGCACATGCGAGTGTGTGCACACGAACACACATGCACGCACACACGCACGCACGCACACACACACACACCACTCTAAAACACATATCTGCTCAGGCTCACAATCAAACACACTCTGTCTTGCTAAGACAAGGCCTGCACCACACCCTCCTCGTGCCAGAGAATCCTACGCCCTACTCACTTCTAAGCTGAGGTGTACATGCCCCTCCAGCTCCTAGACTGGCATCCCTAAAGGCACAGCTCAGTGACTTCTAGTGACCATCTCTCCAAGCCATGAGGCCCCCCACAGACAGTGGGTACAGGCAGCAAGGGCTCGGCTCAAGGGGCACGACATGGCAGGAATTGTCACACAGCAGCAAATCCCACCTGGAAAGAAGGAGACTTCACGGAGAGCTGCACTCAGCCCAGACAGCCAGGCTAGCGACCCTGCCTCTGCACACTATGAAAGACCTCCTAGGACCAAGAGGCCACTTCCTTCTCCCTATTCCCTTACCAGTCTACCATGGAGGGCTTGGGAAGACCCCAAAAGACACAATCCCATCTTGGGACCCATAAGTGTGGCCTTTGGGGAATGGTTCTTCACACTGTGGCCAAGGTAACTATCTCAAGGTAAGGTCGTCAAGGACCAGCCTAGTGGACTTGAACCCAGTGACAAGAGTCGTAAGAGACAGAAGCGGAGCCTGGGGAGAAGCGGCACCCGCGTCCTCCAAAATCAAAATGTGACAACTGAGAGACGGCAGCCAAAGCAGAAACTCCGTGTCCACCACTGACCGGGACCATGTGGGGGGCCCACAAGGAATTGCCTAACAAGAGCTGTCACCACAGTCCACATGTAGCCAGGGTAACCCCATGCAGAAAGCGTCTCTGCAGGACATCAGCCTAACTGCCGGCCCCACCTCATAGGCATGGATGGGGGCCACACCTGCGTCCCGTGTCCCCATGCACATGCTTCTTGCCCTTGGTGACGTGCTGGGGCCAGCTACACCATGTTAGCAAGGTGTCCTGGGAGAGTGTCTTGTGACTTGGATTGGCAAACCCTAAGACCAGGAAGAAGGTAACTGGGTTGTGAGAGTAGCCTCATAGGAGGACATATGAGTTTCAGTGACCCTCTGTGGACTAGGAAGCCGCTTTTACCACACTGGCCATACCAGCCCCCTGCTTCTCGCTCCCAACTTTGAACCAAGAGATGAACCTTTCCTGACTGAGCCTCTTGGCCTGTGGTATTCGGTAACAGCAACAGAAATGACTAAGACGGGCAGCCACAATGTCCCCCGTTGCTGATGGCTCCAAGTCATGGCTAGAACCTCCAGAGCCTCTTTGAGACGGGCCTGTGTGTCCTCCCAGATCTCTGGAACTCAGGACCACACTTCCCCACTTCTCCATCTCCCAAAAGCTCCCTTGACTTGCCTCAAAGTTAAGGGCACTTCCATTTGCAACACGCTTCCCAAGCCTGATGCAGCAGCCCCGCCCCGTGAAGTATCTATCCAAGAACCCGGAAAAAAACTAGCTTCCCCAACTCAGCACCCAGCACCGTTGGCACGACCCCATCACACCTGATGATTTAGAGCCTCCCCCTCCAGACAGGGCCATTATTCCTGAGCAAAGACTGCCTGGTGGCTGTGTGAGGCTCCAGAGTCATTACGATATAACCAGGGCACAATGACAGAGGCAGCCTACAAAGGGCGACGTTGTGGGGAGGGGACAGTAGGATGTGTAGAGGACTGAGTGAAGAATGGGACCCTACCCTGACAATCTCTGAGGGGCCCTGTAGGGCAAAGACCCATCCTGGGAAAGATGTAATAGGAGGCTGACTCAGGGCTGCAAGGGATACGAACAGAGGTAGCGCTGAACTGTGACCTCCACGCTGGCCCTCAACCCGGGGCATCTACTTTCTCAAGGAACAAGCCATGGGAGCAGCCGGAGCCATTCCAGACACTTGTCCCGCGCTGATGCCAACCCTGCGACCTCGAAGGTCTTCTCAGAAGTCTCCTTGGCTTAGGGGTCCCTCCGGAGTAGCCTTTGTTCCTCTGGCTCCCTGACAACATGTTCTCGGGCCTCCCCTCTCCTACCCCTCTCCATCTCCGTCTCGGTGTCTCTAGAGCAGCTAGACGTTTATTTCATTCCCTTCCCTGCATCTCAGGATGCAGATACGTGGAGTCCTGGCCCCACCAAGGCCCATGTGGTCAGACACACCTGTCCCCACCACAGCCAGACCACAGGCCAGACATGACGTGGAGACAAGCGGCCACAACGTGGAGGTGGAGCAGGAAGTGGGTGAGGGACCCCATCTAGGGGACCAGACATACAGTCATGCAGCCCCCTCAGGCCCCAGCCTGGCCCATCCACAGGCAGCCACGCGGAGAGAGCAGGGGACGCTGAGGACACAGACTCCAGCCAAGGCCTTGCCCGGTCCCAAACTCCCTCCCATAGGGCAGATGGCCTGTAGCCAAGAGGATGGACCTCCAGTGTGGAACCGCCTGGCCAAGGGAGGCCTGGCTGTCCCCCTGTGGAGGACACCCAACAGCCTTGAGCAGGTGGGTCCCGGTGCGGTCTGAACTCCTCTGCTCAGTGGTGCACTGAGGAGTCTCAACCAGGCCAGGCCTGAGGCCATAGCGAAGCATTAGGAGGAGGAGGAGGAGGAGGACGAGGACGAGGACGAGGACGAGGACGAGGACGAGGACGAGGACGAGGACGAGGACGAGGACGAGGACGAGGAGGTTCAAAGAGCGGGAGTCTGGGGGAGCACAGGACATGAACCCAGGCACAACAAGGCTGTGCCAGGGGTTAAAATGCAGACAGGAGAAAACCCGATGAAACCCAACTTCCTGGAAAGCAGCAGCAAGAGTCTGAGAGGCTAGACAGAGGCAAGGAGCATCAGACAACAGCAAGGGGTGGTGGAGACTCAAGCATCCGTGGCCAGGCTGCGCTGGGCTAGGCTTAGCCAAGACGAATGAGGCTGATCTGGGCTGGGCTGGACCAGGTTCGGCCAAGTTTGGGCTGACTGGGCTCGTCTATGATGGGCTAAACTGGGCTGGGCTAGTCCGAACTGGACTGGGTTGAGATCGGCTGAGCCAGGCTAAGCTGAGATGGGCTGTGTTGACCAAGATGGGGCAAAGTGGGCTGATTTGGATGACTGGGCTGGTCTAGAATGGGATGAGCTAAGCTAGACTGGTCCAGACTGGACAGGACTGGACTGGACTAGACTGAACTGGACTGAGCTGGACTGGGCTAAGCAGGGCAGAGCTAGGTTAAACTAAGATGGACTAGACTGGTCTGAACTGGGCTGAGCTAAGCTACCTTGGGTTGGGATGCACTAAGATAGACTGAGCTAGGCCGGGATAAACCAAGTTGAGCTACACTAAACTGGATTGGGCTGGTCTGGGCTGAGCTGGGCTCTGCAGGACTGAGCTTGACCGGCACAAACTGGACTGGATTAGACTAAGATAGGATGAGCTATGTTGGCCTGGCCTAAATTAGACTAGCCTTGGCAGAGCAAATCTGAGATGGGATGTTCTGGGGTGAGATTGCATACAGTAGGCTTAGCTGGGCTGCCTAAGCTAGTCTAGAATGGACTGAGCTGGGCTTTGAGTGGTCTAAACCAGATTGAGTTTATCTAGGCTGACCTAGGCTAGGCTGCATTGAGTTGAGCTGGGTTAGACTGGGCTGGTTGAACTAGCCATAGCTGAGCTGAATTGATCGAAACTGACACAGGTTGGGATGAGCTTGCTAAAATAGACTGGAATGGGATTAGCTAAAATAGGTTGAGCTGGGTTAGGGTGGGATGGGATGGGTGGGGTGGGGTGGGGTGGGATGGGATGGGACAGGATCGGACGGGATGGGGTCAGGTGGGGTGGAGTGGGGTGGGGTGAGCTAGACTGAATGACTGGGCTAGTTTGGGCTATGCTGAGCTGAGCTAGACTGGGCTGGCATGAGTTGTGCTGAACTGGGGTAGAATAGACTGGGCTAGCCAAACCAGGCTGGGCTGAGATAGCTGATCTGGGATAACTGAACTGGGTTGATCTAAACTGGACTAAGCTGGCTGAACTGGGCTAAGCTGAGTTGGAGTGAGCTGGGCTGAGCTGAGCTGAGCTGAGCTGGGCTGGGGTGAGCTGAGCTGAGCTGGGCTGGGGTGAGCTGAGCTGAGCTGGGCTGGGGTGAGCTGGGGTGAGCTGGGCTAAACTGGGGTGAGCTGGGCTGAGCTGAGCTGAGCTGAGCTGGGCTGGGGTGAGCTGAGCTGAGCTGGGCTGGGGTGAGCTGAGCTGAGCTGGGCTGGGGTGAGCTGGGGTGAGCTGGGCTAAACTGGGGTGAGCTGGGCTGAGCTGAGCTGAGCTGAGCTGAGCTGAGCTGGGCTGGGGTGAGCTGGGCTGGGGTGAGCTGGGCTGGGGTGAGCTGGGCTAAACTGGGGTGAGCTGAGCTGAGCTGG